GCACCATCAAACTGTTCAGCTTGATAATGTACGAACCTTAATCTTCTTGGTGACGTCAGTCTACACAATAAACATGAAATTGTTATCCATGAAGTCATATGCTTTGTTGTTTACTCATCAACTAGAATGCTGATGAAACAAACTGGGAGATTTCACTGGAGTAAAACATCTGACCTGACTTCAATGAGAATAGGCACAATGAAGTATGTTAACTTGGATAGCAAGCTTAGTATATTGTAAAGGTTTGAATGAGAAAGGGTTAAGAAGTAATGGGTTAAGACGGTGGACTGTGAAACTGCTGTAGGCAGCTGAAGTATCACAGATGCTTTAAATTGAAATATAACCACAACTGGTTTGGAGAACTGATTAAGCTAAAATCCTCACATAAAAGTTTCAGTCTTGTTTCACGAACCGTTTTGTTGTGAGAAGTCATCACAGGGGTCCGTGATCTTTGGAAAATGGCAAATTTTGCAGTGATCAAGAACTTGCTTGCAGATTGCTGTTTGGAAGCAACGAGTCCGGGTTCATCCAAAATGATTTGCAAGAGTTATAATTTACTCAACTGGTTGACTTTTCGAGTGTATTTACCTCATGTAATGTTCACAACAAAACATCCATTGCCATTTTATTCAATCTAAGTGCATGAGGTTCAGAACGTATCAGTGAAGTCTTGCTAGTTTGTTATTTAACATCACACTCAGCAATATTCCAGCCATATCACAGCGATCTGTAAATAATCGAATCTGGCCCCGACAGTGCAAGTGATTGACAACATGAGCATTGATCTTTGCAACTGGGATACTTTGACGTGTGAACCAAGCCAGCGTGTCTCACCATCAAACCCTGAGTCTATCACCACAAGCATCGATATCATAGCTGACGATCAATACTAACCTGGATCTTCATGGGTCAGTCAACTCTTGCATGACATGCCTGTACAAGCATCAACAACTGATGCTTCAATAATCTTTTGTGACACACAAGATAAACACAAAATGCTGCAATTGTAACATTTCTTTATTAACCAAACTGAGACAAACACACTGAGACAGGGAGGGATTTATGTCAGAGAACCTTTTGCTTATTCTAGCTCATGAGAGAGAAAATTAGGACTATTTTAATACCAAAACTCTTACAAAGTCCTTTTCAATTATACTACATCTGAAGATATCTGATGGATGTTGGGAAGCAACAATCTGATGGATGACATCTTCACTGCTAGATGCACCTATTCAATCAGAGACTGACACCGATGCTGAATGTAAGCAATGTTACTGTTGGTTTTGATGGTACTAATTCTATCGTGTACAGTACACCTGCATTACACCAGAGACCTACCTATAGGGTAAGGTGATGTTAAGTTCATGCAAGAAGCAGCGTGCATGCCCAAGGGAAAATTAATTTGACTGAGGCATCAGGTAAATGACCCAGGAAGTACTTCATGGACATTGTATGTGCACAATAGATTATGGTGGACTCCGGTGTAATGCATTATTACCAAAGCATGTTACTTTTGTTTTTATCGCAGATGGTCCCGATGCTGTAATATGCTCATTTTTTCCATCCAAAACTGGAGGAGACTTCCGGTGTGAGATGGATTGATCATCAGATCTCCACACAGAGAGAGCACAAAGCATGTGAGTCAATGGATAATAACTTATTGCATAAAACAATGTAGATTTAGTGGTTTACGTCACACAAAAATTCTTTGTAACTTTGTAACAGAATATTAAGTATAAGGTTCCTGTGCTTGAAATGATTAAAACGTCTGTGGTTTAGCACTTTAAACCATTTCATTATATTACTGGACAAATGTTTTCTGTTAAGACCCTTGAAATTCATTGTCTGAACCAGTTTTGTACTGCAAGATAAAACCCTCAGATTCCCACACTGTTGTCAAGTTTTAGCATCATCAAAACATTCAGCTTGATAACGGCACAAGAATCTTCATGGAAATGTCAATCTACTAATAAATATGAAATTGTTATCCATAAAATCATATGCTTTGTTGTTTTCAACCCAACTAGAATGCTGATGAAAGAGATTTCACTGGAGTAAAACATCTCACTTCAATGAGAATAGGCACAATGAAGTATGTTAACTTGGATAACAAGCCTATGTTGTAAAGGTTTGAATGAGAAGGGGTTAAGAAGAAATGGAATAAGAGCGATGCCTATGTTGTAAAGGTTTGAATGAGAAAGGGTTAAGAAGAAACGGGTTAAGACGGTGGACTGTAAAACTGCTGTCAGCAGCTGAAGTATCACAAATGCTTTCTGTTAAAATATAACCACAACTGATTTGAAGATTATGTACAGTGTTTCTTTGGATAATTCAGGCACACCAATATGACATTAATGGCATAATATTTTCAAGGAAATAGTGAACAACAAAAATAGTTTAGCAACAAACTAACGATGCACACAGAGAATATATTCAAAACCAGTAAAGTTTAAATTGATACATATATGGATCATGTTACCTTGGTTACATGACAAAGTATACATGCATTATATCCTATTATTTATATGTTCAGCATGACTATTCTACATCCTTGTTTTAGATGATGGCATTGCCATTCTACATTCTTGTTTTACATTTCTGCATGACCATTCCACATTCTTGTTTTACACATCATCATGGCCATTCTACATTCTAGTTTTACATGATGGCATTGCCATTCTACATTCTTGTTTTACATTTCTGCATGACCATTCCCCATCCTTGTTTTACACGTCATCATGGCCATTCTACATTCTTGTTTTACATGATGGCATTGCCATTCTACATCCTTGTTTTACATTTCTGCATGACCATTCCCCATCCTTGTTTTACACGTCATCATGGCCATTCTACATTCTAGTTTTACATGATGGCATTGCCATTCTACATTCTTGTTTTACACGTCATCATGGCCATTCTACATTCTTGTTTTACATGTCATCATGGTCATTCTACATCCTTGTTTTACATGATGGCATTGCCATTCTACATTCTTGTTTTACATTTCTGCATGACCATTCCACATTCTTGTTTTACACATCATCATGGCCATTCTACATTCTAGTTTTACATGATGGCATTGCCATTCTACATCCTTGTTTTACATTTCTGCATGACCATTCCCCATCCTTGTTTTACACGTCATCATGGCCATTCTACATTCTAGTTTTACATGATGGCATTGCCATTCTACATTCTTGTTTTACACGTCATCATGGCCATTCTACATTCTTGTTTTACATGATGGCATTGCCATTCTACATTCTTGTTTTACATTTCTGCATGACCATTCCACATTCTTGTTTTACACATCATCATGGCCATTCTACATTCTAGTCTTACATGATGGCATTGCCATTCTACATCCTTGTTTTACATTTCTGCATGACCATTCCCCCATCCTTGTTTTACACGTCATCATGGCCATTCTACATTCTAGTTTTACATGATGGCATTGCCATTCTACATTCTTGTTTTACACGTCATCATGGCCATTCTACATTCTAGTTTTACATGATGGCATTGCCATTCTACATTCTAGTTTTACATGATGGCATTGCCATTCTACATTCTTGTTTTACATTTCTGCATGACCATTCTATGTTTTGTTTGACATGTAATTAATTTTCCAAAGGTACAAATTTGTTCCATATTAAAACTGTTGATTAAAAATGTGCTTTAATATGCTCTGTTTGTATTTTCAATGTTATAAATTGTTATCTTTCCTCTTGCATCATGACCAATAAAGATGATGCAACAATTTTTTGAAACAGGAGGGATTGAGTCAGTTTGTCTTTTTATACTTTTTAGCAATATTCACCAATTATGACCCCAGCAATACAAAATAGCATTCCTGGAAACACCTCAACCATGCAGAGAATTGAACACATGTCATGACTGTAATAGTCAAATGCTTTAACCATTGGGCTACCACACTGCCCTTTAAAAAACCAACCTGTAGATCTGGCCATAATACACTGAACTAAAAGTTAAAGACCATGAATATATTGGGATAATATTTTATTAAATTCTTCAACAGGTCTTCACTACATACAAAACATATCCCCTGATATATTCACGATCCCTAACTTGTTTTGTTTAGTATAGGAGTTGAATGACACAATTAAACAATATCTGGTGTTATGCTTTGGCACTGTTGAACCTGGTTCATTTCATTTTGTTAAAGGCACTGACATTTAATTTCTGTAATCATATTTTCACATGGCAATGTGCTCAATTCATTTTATAAAAACCAAAGAATAATCCCAACATAATCAGGCATTTTTTCCTCTTATTTCTGACCAAAATACCAATAATAACAAACTCAAATAACAACAATATCATAACATCCACATTTCACAAAATTCAGTGCTAAGAATTCATAACTTTGACAAAATAAACAATATTTCAGGAATATGTTTGCAATGTATCCAGTAAGAATGACTTCAGTTATGATTATCACAACATTAGCACAGAAGGCACACTCTTAAAGCAGAAAGCAAAGATCTCGCTACATAAACAGTATGTATAAAAAAGTACTGCAAAAAAGCAAGGACGGATTCATTCTCAATCAGATTCATACAAAAATAATGAGGAGGGTTTTAAATCAGCTCGAGTCAATTGTTATATTGACGAGAGAAAGGCTGACTGGTGTGTGATCGTTGTCTTCTGGCTAAAGCTTGTTTCAAGACCTGCCATTGATTGTAATCAAAGGGAGATAACTTGGTGAGCATTTACAGTGTCAAGGTGACCACTAACAACATCAGTCACCACAAGGTGGCAGCAACTATGTACTGCTGTATCTACTGGCCGCCATGTGAACCCAGTTTGACCTTTTGATATGACAATCAGGAAAATGGTTCATTGTGAGAACATGAGGGAGCCATATTGCATGACTTTACTTGGACACAATGTTTATTTGTTGTTTAACGCCACACTCAGCAATATTCCAACTATATGGCGGAGGTCTGTAAATAATTGAGTCTGAAGCAGACAACAACAACATGAGCATCAACCTATGCAATTGGGATATGATGACATATGTCAACCATGTCAGCAAATCTGGCCGCTGATCCCATTGGTCGCCTCTTACGACAAGCATGGACACTAAGTGTGTTAAATGATTAGTAACATGTGGTTGATAAAGACGTCTACCCTGAATGCACTCACTGTGATGTGACAGTGAATAATAATTTCATTGAATGCCCCAGCCACAATCATATCAGACTTGAGAAAGACAGCAGAAATACCCTGTGCCCAACATATTTAATATTTTAATTCATGGGCATGTATTAGACTGACCCTGAAAATATGAAATGTGAAAAATCCTGAAAACATTATGTAACAAAGAAACATCAATATATTCACGCAGTGACTTAAACAACTTGTTTTGTTTTTCGCTTGATCTAATTTTCCTGGAATGTACATGTCTAACAGATACTGCAGCAGACTGGCATATGATCTAGGATCTCTGTTTCATTCCTCACTTTAGCCTGTTCAATGCCACTTAGACCGAAACTAATACTACCGGTTGGTCCTTTGTCAATTCCAAACCAAATGCCTAGTGACTTTGAGACTATCCAACAACTCTGTCTTGGAACAAGTCTACAAATTATCCAGAGCACAATTTGTTTCAAATGACTGATAAGAGTTTTGCAGTAAATTTGCACTTGCATTGAGAAGACAAATCCTCTTTGAACACATATTCTGGCAGTGATCCATTTGATACTGTACAGAACTATACCAAAGTGTACAGAACTGTACATAACTATATAGAACTGAACAGAACTATACAGTAAAGGATGGAAATAAACAACTAAACAGGCATTTAAGTTAAGAATATAATTGAACCATTTCCGTATTTCTAAAATTACGAAGTTCGGATTGAACAAAAAGGACCCTTCCTTTCCATATGATACTAATTACAAACCGAACCATATTTTCAAGCACAACAAAATTGAACATAAGTAAATATGTTCCTTCATCCAAACGCAACAAGATATGTCAACCAAACATCACCACTACTCCAAACACTCCATGAACACATACAGCAATAAGCATCTCTGCATATTTAATGACACTTAATGCTGCTGATTATGTTGATAATATGAAAACTAAGCAAAAGCACATTTGATTATGTCATCATAATACATAAGTAGCAAGTTGCTGATCCAGAGGGGGGATGCAGGGGTATCTTCTCATCCCCTATCTTTTCATACACTGTGCATGTTAACTGTACACTCAAGTAAATTTAACTTCATGAACTGGGTATTTTGTGCATCCCCTTTTCAAAATCCTGGATCGTATAAGGCATTCTTGTAGGCATATTAGGATCCCTCGATTACGATAACTTTTTCAAACCGTCACCTACAATTAATTCCATTTGGACTTTACATCACTAGCAGTATCCCTATCCCTCTTTATCACTAACTTCACTCAAAATTTGTTCATACTCATAATCCTGAAATTTACAACCAATAATACCCCTTCTCTTAGATCTATATTCATAGTGTGCCCTTAAGGTATTAGGAAACTGTGGAACTGGCAAGTACAAGGAACTTCTAACACAGCAGGAAATGCCATATTTTACCCTGGCTCATGAGCAATTCTCAGTTTCATCAGAATGAATCATTTGACTGTATGACCTCAGGTCAGTTTAGGGTGACACAAGTCATCACCTGGCCTAATGCTTATAGTGAATTGCTAAGCTATCCAAATCTTTAATTGAAATGTAGTGTTTTTTTTCTAAACAATGATATGGCTCAGTGAATATGCAGTGAAAGTGTACTATGTTTATGTAATAATGCGACATGTGAGAAAGTTTATTAGAATAGTTTTAACCCATTAAATGTAGGAAGACTACAGACATACGTTGCCAGTTATCACCTGACAGCTTTCTCCCAAAGGCATGAATGTAAAAGTGTCCTGTATCATCAGTTCTTGTAACAGCAAACAAACAAATAACCTCCTTCATTGTGATGGATGGTGTTAAAAAAATACCTTGTTGATGACCTTAATATTCACATTAACAAGACAGTCAAACAAAACAATTCAAATTTAACCTTTCCAATCAACTCATTCTGTAGTTAAGCACAAACACCTACACCTACAATGCCTGACCCAGACATTTACCATCTGCTCAAGATAAGGTCATGTGATGCAAAAGCTGGACTTTGATTGGCTGGAGGTAGACAGACAAGATGGACGGATGTGATGACTACCTCAGCTGCTCTGAGCATTGTCTCTATTCCATTGGTTGGGTCAGGAAGGCCTGGTTGGCTGGGGCTTGCCTTTCCGCTTGGCGTCGCAAATGTTTCTGTGAAAAAGACGACACATTTTTAGTCCTTCACTGTTATTTCTGGTGGGTAAGTAAATTTTTATCAAATGCCACTGTGAGCAGTATGTTAGTTACATTTCCATGTCAGCTGGTATTGGGATGAAAGCCTGTAGTGCTCCAGGTCTTAGATGACTTCCACAAAATCCATTAGCATGGCTTATAACAGAACTATGATCAGAGAAAGTAGAGGAATTCAACCCCTGATCATAAACTCCTGGCATGGGCAAGGGACACAACTCTGCCAGCCTAATCTCAGTGGAGGGATTGGGATAGAGAACTTTGACAATGGGCCATTTTCAGGATTATTAGCCATTTTCTGAATTTAGATTTGTATCAGTGGTAAACTTAAAAAATTTAATGGGCCTTTTTTATTCTAATGTGCAAAATGGCCCATGGCCCCTGCCTTTCCTAATCCCTGCAGAGTGATTTAGACTACTGATGTCCTGAGCTACCCCTGATCATTTCTGATTTGATTGCTGCTTATCAGAAAATATTCCAGCTATAGTTACTAGTGGTGGTCCGATTAATTGAAATAATCGAAGATTGGTCGCAGTGACTATACGACCAAGCAATCGATCATGTTTTCTCATAATCGACCACAAACAATTCTGGAACACTTGTTTTCATAAACAATATATTTCACAAGGTTGGTTTTGTCTGTTACATTTCATAAGCACTACAAGCTCGTTCCAAGTCATGATTGAATATATCTTAAAGACTTAAAATTTCTGTTCCTTACATACTTGTCATCCTTTAATGATATGAAATTTTGCACCAAAGAACTACATGTTTTTTTTTCTTATTTGAGCATTTACAAAAATAACCAGGAACATTTCATAAATGACGATAACCAATTGTTTTCGACGATTGATCGGTTGTAATGAACCAATAATCAATTATGAGATTTTAACCAATTCCCAACACTAATAGTTACATAGGCCTGGAATTTACAGATTCTGGACCAGATGATCCAGTGATTACAAAATATGAGCAATGTCCCATGACCTGGGATACAATGACATAAGAACAGCCATCAATCATTCACCAATATCTGTTCAACACGAAGACTGTCTGTACCACATACCAGTAAGCAAATTATATGTAAATGAGTGAGTGAGTGAGAGAGAGAGTTTAGTTTTACCCTGCACACAGCAATATTTCAGCTATATGGCGGCGGTCTGTTAATAATTGAGTCTGGACCAGACAATCCAGTGATCAACAGCATGAGTATCAATCTGCACAATTGGGAACCGATCACATGTGTCAACCAAGGCAGCGAGCCTGACCACCCGATCTCGTTAGTCGTCTCTTATGACAAGCATGGGTTATTGTAGGTTCATTCTAACCCGGACCTTCACGGGTCAAATTATATGTAACCTGGCAAATGAAACATTAATGCTAAAAATGAACCAAGATTATCCGTTTAACATCAAAAGATGATTTTTCTGCCTTCTCATTGTCCCCGTTTTACCAAGGCACTCTTAATATTTTTGTTGCAGCAATATCCATAAAGTGTGTTATCCCACTTAATAATCAAGCCTGGACCAGAAAAACCAGGGATTGACATTATAACAACTGAGACAAGCAATAGGGTATTCTGACATGTTGTCAATGGTGTCACTGAGCCTGACCACCCGTATCCATTTGGTCATCTCATATGACCAGCGTTACAGGGAAACACATATAACTAAGAATTTCGTTCAAAAATGTTTTATGACGTTCTCATTTAGGCACCACACTGAAACACCAGTACCTAGCAGAAAAATGGGTACCCGGTGGGATAAGTCATGTGACTATAACCTTCTAGAGCCTAGCAGGCAGCTTGGGTTGTCTGGGTAATAATGTTGTGCTGTTTGTGCACGCTTTGAGCATGCCCCTTTGTGGTGTGGAGTATTATGGGTATAAGCACTCTCATTAATATTATTATTATTATTATTAACATTACAGTAAAGCTGTGTGTGCTCTTCACCATACTGCCCTGCCAGTATAACAAGACGTGTCATTGTTTTTTGTGCCAAATTCAGATATGTTAAAGCATTATTATGCTCCATTGAAAACACTCGTTGCTAGGCAGCAAACCAGTGGTTGATGACACGAACAACAGTCCAGATTATGATAACCTCAAAATAACTTGAGCTTTGACAGACATGACACTGACAGTTCAAGTAAAAAAATGTGTAAGATACATGCAAAAATACAACTCCATGCCTGTAGGGGCAACCATGTCTTAGAAAAATTATATACAAATATAATTATATTGCAAAAGCATGACTGCTGCCCTTGACCTCAGACTTATTGTTATTAAATAATTTTAAGAGCAGAGCTCATCATCAAACATTATTTAGATAAGTCCAGCAATATTTGCATTAACTCTTTCCATACGACGAAAGAATTTCACAGCTGCACATAAAACCCTTGCATACAATCAGATTTTTCCAGCTGTAGCCTCTGAATTTGACGGACGAGATATGACGTCGGATTTTTTACAATGTTTCCATACGAGGAACGTGATAACTCGTCTACTCATTCTAAACATATTTCACAGTTTTCTGGTCGTGTATCCTCGTCCTTCAAATGCAATTTGTGTACTTTGTGACAGTGTAATTTTTAGGATTTTCTTGATTGTCTCCCTTGGTCAAAACCACATGCTATATGATCTTGACATTCGGTCGAGATACAGCATTAAATGGCTGGTCGTTGAAAATCGTATCAGACTGCAAGCTAAGCTCTATCTGCCATTTGTGATGATGAGAGTAGCTGTTACGACATTTGACGTTTGATTGTTAGCAATGTACTTTGACATTTGACTGTTCTTATAGTTGTTACCACAGGTCACACTCGTTTCATCGTTCTTTGGATTTGGATGTCATGACCCTATAATTCTAGTGATGACATAAATCTACTAAATTGTGGTTGTTCTTCCACCGTAGTGTAGTCACTGGATTGAAATAAAATGTCATAATTACCAAACTGATGTTTAAGTTCAATTATGTTTCTCCTTTTAGAAAAATACTGCATTTCCAATGTTTCTGTGCTAAAGACGACCTATTTTTTTCTCTACTAGTCTGAAATAGTTTAATGAAAGTGAATAAAGATGTTTGGAAACATTTTAGTTCATATGGATTTTGATGTTATGTTAGTCATGAATGGTCCATGTCAACCGTTGCAACCATGGAGACGTGATATCACGTCCCTCGTATGTAAGTGTCATGTTGCTAGAAATAGTCTCGTATTGAAGGGTTGTGACCCCTCAGCCGGGACATCTCGTCCTTCGAATGGAAAGAGTTAAGCATTTTGAAAAACAAAATTCCAAAATCTTTCTCATGAGATTTTATCATCTTTGATCCATGTAAAGCCCATGTTAGGATATCCTCTCTGGATAACAATCTTCCCACCATGTTGAAAAGAAAATGATACAACTATTTTTGACAATTATCTTTAAAAATTTAATATCTCTGACATCAATGAAAACAAAATTTGATGAGGTGGGTAATATCTTGTTTTTCATTTTAATATACTTTCTGAGCTGGTCAAGTTAACATGACTCGGAAACTGACAATCATATAACTATGACCTTGGTCGAATCTTGACCAGATTCCTTTCAAAGCCTGGCTCAATTCTAAGGAGTCTACAAGTTTAGTGATTCTGCTCTATTTCACTAAGATGCTTGTGTCAGATATGAAGAGCTGGGTAAGAATTGGTCTTTAGCCACTTGTTGTAAGACCACGGGGTGGTCAGGCTCGCTGACACATGTCATTGTACCCCAAATACGTAGACCGATGCTCATGCTGTTGATCACTGGATTGTCTGGTCCAGATTCGATTATTTACAGAGCACCGCCATATAGCCGGAATGTTGCTGAGTGTTGTGTTAAACAACAAACAAACAACAGTAAAGTGAAAGTATGTACCTGCAACTGAAGCTTGTTGGTGAAGAACAGATCCTTCCAGCCATGCTCCCTAGCAAGACTCTGTAACTCGTCTGTGATTGGCGTCTCACTGTTCTGTCTGTAGATCTTCTCCCACAGTTCATTGCAGTTACACAACTACAACAAACAGGGACTGATCTAAAACTAAATAAAACAAAAGTGCCCCTAGCAGGAAAACTGGGGAAAACATTTAAATTCTTATATTTTAAAAAGGAGGTACTTTAATATTGTTTCATTGCAGTATTTTATAACTTTGCCTCTTCCATTGTGTCCCTCTGTTATTAATGAAGTGTACACAAGTTGCCTTAAAATTAATCATGACTGAAATAACAGGAATTGGGAAATTTGAAATCCCTACAATAAGACTGACTGACTGAGTTTTGTTTTCGCCGCTTTTAGCAATATCACGGCAGGGGACACCAGAAATGGGCTTCACACATTGACCATTCTTTAACCACTAGGATCGCCCTCCTACTATAAGACCATTCAGGGATTGACATAATGCTGAACTTGCATGCAATGGCACAGTAAATATTGAAAAGACACGAATTTGCGGCACAAACAAAATTATAAAAATAATACCATGATTCATGTAATGGAAAATACGATAAATTTGAATAACTGAAATGACTTCAAACCTATTTTTGCATCACATCAAACTGGCACTCTTGAACTCACTGTCAGTTTAACACTGGTGAGGATGAGAACTTAGTTTGTGGGTTAGTTTATGGGTCTAGGACAAAAGTGACTGAACTATTCTTGCAACCGTGATAGTCTTCAGGATTCCACTGCTGAAGTTAGCAGGACCAAGATTTTCGAAGCTCTCTTAGCGCTAAGATAGTCGTAAGCCAATGTTAATGTATGGCACTTACGACTATCTTAGCGCTAAGAGAGCTTCAAAAATCTAGGCCCACGTTTCCATGATATCTACTGATTTATTGAACAATAAATTGAATGTTTCAATTTTCAAAGGCACACACAAATTATCTGTTTGGAGCCCAATGGTATACTTCAAATATTTTTTTTCTACCTCTGACATTTTAATTGGTGCTTTTCAAACTTGGAGTAATTCGAGCTCGACAAATCCATTGCTGATGGTGGTTTGCCCCGTGCATTTACCTCTTTGAAGAAATGTGACACGAGACTCAGAGCCTTGATGTCCTCCAGGTCCAGCATCATGATGATCTGGATGAGGACGTTGCGTGGAAGACGAGGGAGATAGTCCAAGTGGCCGTTGGCGAGGTTGAGCAAGTAGTCCAGCGTCTTGCTGCCACCCACTCGCTGTAGCTCACCTGTATATTGAAACAGTGTTACAGTCATACAGAGAGGAACAGTGTTCTAGTCAGCCACTGGGAAACAGCGTAACAGACATACACAGCAAACAGTGGCATAAAATCTTAATAGGTGAGTGAGTGAGTGAGTGAGTGAGTTGGGTGGGTCTTTGGATTTTTGGGTGAGTGAGTAAGGAAGGAAAGGACGGAGGGAGGGAGGGCCACTATTTCAGTGACATTAATCAGAAACTAGAATTTGAAGCCACAATCTGAACATTAAATGACTGCCCCAACCGTATAGGAACCATACAAAGGGAACAGTGCTACAGTCATACACAGGGACACAGGGACACTAGGACTGCAAGGAATACAATGTAAGGCGTCAGTAGTGACGAATACGCTAAGCGAATCTCACTTGGATAAACAACAAACTAAAGTAATGACGGAAATGCTTGGAAAATGCTTTTTGGCGTCAATAGCAATATGATGAATTTGACACCAGATAAAAGCACATATATGATACATGTATGACTCTACCTAGTTGGATATTAAAGCTCAGATGAAAAAATGCACTTGAGGGGTGACTTCACAGGAGGAAATTTTGACGTTTTAACAACATTTGTAAATATTTTAAGTACAAACTGTAGTTTTGAAATACAGACTATAATTATTCATATAGCCTCAACTAATTAAATTACATAAATGATTGTAAAAAGTTTATTTTTTGGAACATCTATATGTGAAAAAGATGGAACTCTTGTAGCAGTTTCATTCAAAATAATTACATAAAAAAGTCTTATTCAAATCGCATAGATAATCTTGTTCACCCATAGAAGTTTCACTTTGTGTATGAGCACAGAACTGGCAACATGCGACTTGATATCTCTGCAAAACAATTCATTTCAAATTTATACCAGTATTTCACTATACTGTGACCCACCTGGCAGGCAGACAGGGTGACAGCGTACATGTAACGCACGGGCAATGCATGTCAGGGACTGTCTCAAATATCAAGTGTCAGTATCACTGCTGGTCGAGGACTCTAGCGGAATTACAACAGGTGCAACTCGGCTGATGTTAACGCCATCCCGCAGACGGTATTCGTCTTCGATTTTGAGAACACGATCTTCAGCCTTTTGCCACACTTCTGGGATAATTCTCACAAAATAAGTATACACAAGCTGTTTAACGTCTGAAAGCTTGAATGTGGTATTATTGCGAGCAATAACATTCTTACAGTTACCCCAGATCAGCTCGATGGGATTGAGCTCACAGTGCCGTACTGGTGTGCGCAGAACTATGTGGCATAGTTTTGCTGCTAGTTCATCAGTGATGTACTGGATTGACTTTTTGTGCTGCTGTATTTTTTCCATGAGCTGGGGGTTTGTTTCTGATTGCCTGTAAGGCACGTTACAGGAAGTGAGAAAATCCTGCAACTGAGCCTTGAGATTGCTCATGGTGCGTGTGATGGTACCAGTGACACGCAGGTTATGGTAACTGGCGTTATCCAATATGATAACGCTTGGTTCGTCCAGCTGCGGTAAAAGCTGATGTTCGAACCAATCCAAATATACCTGCCATCGCTATGGTAATCACCATCAGATTTCTTGGCCTCAAAAACAAAGTCACAACCCCCAATCAGTCCCTTGCTACGGGTACCAGCATGCAAGATGATCAGGCATCTACCTTGCATGATGGTAACACTTGTGCCTTAGAACAATCTGAAGGAAGCCACATCCGATCGGTTGAGTCATTTTTATTACACCAGGTTTCATCAAGGTATAGAATTTGAAACCCTGATGCTGATCGTATGGACAGGATTGAGTACTTTTCTCTAAACACAGCTCTGTCATCTCCCCTTTTGGTGTACCTGAACCCTATTTCTACCAGAGCTACAATAAATGTTGTTTTCAAGACAGTTATTGTATCTTTGATCTCATCTTGTATTTTAGCACACGTTGGTGGGATTTTGCGTTCATACAGTTTATTAACTGCATGGCGAATGACACCCTTATCAAAGCTATTAAGTTTGTGTTTCCTACCTGGTTTTGATTTTGACATGACCCCTGAGGTAACTGATTTGTTTACAACTTTGTAAACCTGACTATATGTCAAATTAAGGGCTTTACACATTCTATAGTAAACCCTGTCATAGCTGACGAGAGGTTTCCCCCTTTGTTTCTCCAGTAATTGTTTCTTAGAAGTGTTTCTACCGTGGAATGTTTTAAAAGTTTTTCGATATTTTACGAGTAATCATTATGATTAGGGAATGGTACATCGTGATTACACATATGCCATATTAGGTCGAGGTTGTATGAATGATTATATATGAGTTTTGAATCTGAAATATCAACCATTATCAAATAATTGCCAAAAAGCATTTTCCAAGCATTTCTGGCCTTACTTTAGTTCAGATGTAAAGACACTCAAGTGACTTGTGACAGGACTAAGGAACAATGTTAGAGAGACATCAGGGCTCCAGATGACGTTTCAACATCAGCAGTAATGCCGTACTCCTTATTTTTTCAATATAGAAGTACTGGAAAACTGTAGGAGTACATTTAGAGTACTGAATGGAATTTAATGGAGTATCAGTAATCTTGTGTTTTGTTTCATATATGCACTACAACATTGCTATTCTTGTCTAAATGGGACCATAAACAATAAAAAAATCTGTTTTCAGATAAATACCTCCGTAAATGATTCTGAGACCGTACACCATTGCTGTGGTGCCTATCTGCTACGTTTTCTAAATTATTTCCTACCGTATCGTGCATGTTTTTTAGCCATACATACGCCGCTAATATCAGGAGCCCTGGACGTACACAAGGCATACATTAGCAAATCGTTATCAAAAACATTTAGGCAATGTGCCATCACAGCTCCATTTCACAATGAGATCATGTGCTGTGACTGCTGTGAGCCAATGTGAACGTTTCATTATACTTATAGTAGGTGAAGGTGAAATTGGGTTTAACGTCGTGCTTGAGAATATTTCGCTCATATGACGACGTGCATGCGTGTGTATGTGTATGTGCGGTTGCTTGTACTAGCCCAGACTGAAGCTGGTTTTATAGTGCTAGCCCACTGAGATACCATGCCGCAGTGAAGCAGGAATACCCCACTCAGACACAATATACTGACTCCGAGCCGACTAGTCCTTGTACCCATTAACGCCGAGCGCCAGGCAGGGACCAACAAGTACCATATTTTAACGTCTTTTGGTATGACTCGGTCGGGGATCGAACCCGCGACCTTCCGCTCTCCGGGCAGAGGCTCTAACAACTACACCACGGAGGCGGTCTATACTTATAGTAAGCCTCATACAAAGATAACCATAATGGGTGTATCATTTACACTTCCACACACACAATTGTGTAGTAGGATTCAACTGTAATCAGATAGCTATCAAAGACCTTTTTACTGCAGGAACCATTCTGTCAAATTTTCTGTATATAATGCATTATAATAGTACTGTCGGAAATAGAAAAAATCTGTATTTTCTCATTTATCTCTACAATTTATGTAGCTGATATGTGAAAGTGTGAAATATCTGTTAAACTAAGTTCGGCCTAACTACAGTCTCGGTGGTAGAGAGATAGGAAACGGAGAAAAAGGACTTTACTGAGGGGAAATTAGTGCAGAAATGAGCAATGCGGTTTTTTTCTAAGTCCAAAAAGACTTATTTGGAACAGACCATGGCTTTATGCAAATTAGTGTGCGACGATATTGTATTACAAAGGACACTTTTTAAAGGTCCAATTTGAAATTAGACGTAGATTCATTATAAACGATAGCTGACGTAAAAAATAATAACTTTTATGCCGAAACTATTAAGGATGTAGCTACCATGCAGTCTCACTGTCACTATAAAAAGAAACAGATAGGAGGGGCAAAAGCAAAACCTGGGGTCGGGCTTGGGGATGGATATATCTGCTAAGATAAGATAATCCTTTAGGGCAATTATACTGGGGAGGTACACGGCACGTCATAACAATTTACAAATAATATCCAGTCCTGTCAATCTTCGGGTGGTCATGCCACCTATATACTACGATGCGTTTCTATGGTTTTCAGGTATCATACTCTTTTACATATCTCAACATAAACTATATGAAACTATATGAAAGAAAGACACGTAAGATGTTAATCAATAGATGAGACATAGTCAACACACATGAAAAAGCACAAAATATCTTTGAGATGACCCCTTGTGCCTGTAGGCAGCACTTGCATTTCATGCCAGGTGAGTCGACGGCCCGTCGTCATACCTGGCTGAGCCACCTTATTGCCATCTCTAGTCTGATCTATTGTTTTCGGCAGCTATTTTTGCCAGATTTTACGAGTAAACATGCTTTTCTGAATATCGTATTACGCATCCCACTGAACGCCCAGTTAGGCCGAAGTGGGTTATTTCGACATATGCTATTTGCAATTGTGTAAATTTTATTTCCGACAGTACTTTAGCTTATAGTCTCACTGTCCCTGAACTACATTATTTTCCCTACTGCCCAGCCCTTTCTGCAAGGCTAAAGCCCTAAATGAAGCAAGTCTAGATTTCCTCGGGTTCCCACTGGGGCTTCTTTTCAATTTAAAATGAATTGTTTGTTTCTATCAAAATTATATGTTTTCCACAGACTAAGAGACTAAGCATTAGTGTATGTTTTAATATGAGAATGTTGCAACACAACACAATGAAATGAATAAAAAGAAATGGAGCATTAATATTTCCAGTATTTTAACCCATGAGCCACGCTGGAATCATAACTTGGAAAAATAATAATTTCATAAATCAGTTCACTGCAACCATTCTTTAATGTACACTGGCGGATCCAGAGGGTGTGTGTGTGTGTGTGTGTGTGTGTGTGTGTGTGTGTGTGTGTGTGTGTGTGTGTGTGTGTGTGTGTGTGTGTGTGTGTGTGTGTTGTGTGTGTGTGTGTGTGTGTTTGTTTGTTGTGAGTGTTGTGTGCGTGCGCGCGCGTGTGTCAAGGGGTTTGAAATCACACACCCCTTTGCAAATTGCTGGATCTGCGCCTATGAGCACTGAAGCCATCCTCTTTACTTCAAAATAGAATAAAACACATAAGACAAATTACTTCTAAGAGTATTCTAAGTGCATTCAGGCACCAAGAACTAACTTTAATCATGCAACTGTGACATGTTACAAGAGAGTAGAACCCTACAATGACCATTCAAATCAAAGCCTGCTTAGATTAACAACATACGTTGGACAGGGTCAGTAGCCTTGTATAACACATACATATGGGTAGGTCAAAAGGTTGTGTATACATGTGAGCACTGCTAACGTTGATCATTACCAAGTGTCATCTAATCAAGTGTTACTAAGCTATAGTAACAATATGTTGCTAATCTGTGGGTTACAACCTCATCAGAAAATAGACCAGTCTTTATAATGTTATCAACACAGCATGGCCTAGTCATGTGGGGCAGTTTACATTGAATTATTTTGTTTAGGCCAGACCAGTTTTATTTCTTGTTTTACAGATTTTTGTCCTCAGAATATCTAAAGGCAGGATGGTAAAAAAATAAAAAATAAAAATCACCAGTCAATTCCTTTCAAATTCTAAAAGTATTTTATTTTGGCAATTTATGAAGTGACGTATGGGGCAAAAAATTAAACAATCAAAAAACGTTTTTCGGGGGGTAAGTTTACATTTTGGGCCAATAATAACATGAGGATTATATTTTTTGAGTGGGAAAATTTATATTTATTTATTTCTTGTTCTTGAAAAAATAAGACAGGTGGATCCGTAAAACAAGAAATAAAATTGGTCTGGCCTTTGGTTGTAAACGTTAAATTAAAGTTTGGACAAAAAAGAAATATTACACTCTGAGAACATGTTTTAGTAAGCAGGCATTTACAGGATGTGAATTCCTGCATCCTATACTCATAAAAATTGACAACTGACTCAACGAAATTGATTAGCACGTCCACAGGGACGCAATAAAGTCCAAATACTTTTCGAGTATTAGTTACTTGCCATCACAGTTATCACTGAGTTGGATTATGGTACATTTGCAATTTAATTACTGTTACAATGTGATGATCATGATACACAATACAATAACACTAACTGAATTACAACAATATTACAACATAGTATTAATAATAATATTTAGGTGTCTGGGACCCCAATTTGTTGTCCAGGACCCCTGTAAATTAAGAGTATGAGTCCCACGGACCCTCAAATACAGGTCTCAAGGTAAATCCCTGAGTAAGCAGGGATAAATAAACTTGGGATTAATGAAATCTGATTCCATTGCAACCATGCCAACTTGATCACTTAAACTCATCCTAAATACTCACTAAGGCTGTGACCCGTGAAGGTCCGGGTTCGAATGAACCTTCAGTAACCCATGCTTGTTGTAAGAGGCGACTAATGGGATCGGGTGGTCAGGCTTGCTGGCTTGGTTGACACGTCATCGGTTCCCAATTGCACAGATTGATGCTCATGCTGTTGATCACTGGATTGTCTGGTCCAGACTCGATTATTACAGACTGCTGCCATATAGCTGGAATATTGCTGAGTGCGGCGTAAAACTGAACTAACTCACTCACTAAGGCAGTGTATTGGCAAATAAATTGCATTGCAATATATTGTGATCCAGGAACCCGTATTGCAATACATATTGTGATATATTGGGAACTTCAGTGTTTGACAGTGACACTAATTACATGTCGATCCTATTTTCTACATTATAAGTCCCTAAAAATGTGCTAACGTTTTGATAACAGAAATCGCATAATTATGTCGCACGGTCAGGGATTCCATTTACTTTTTTTATACAATTTATAGTATTACAGTGTGCCATTTTGCAGGGGTAGAAATAACCCATTGCCCGACGCCCCAGTCCCGGTTTTTTCTGTCAGGTTAGCAAATGTGTATGTCACGCTGTACCGGTGTCCAGTTAATTTTCAAATGTTAATTATGTTGTTTATTAAAAAAATCAACAAGAAAATCGTCCAGTTTAGTGGAAAAATTATCAGGGCAAGTGATTTTACATGTGCTACTGTACTGAAGTACACTAGCAATTTTAAAGTTATTTCCACCCCTGCATTTTGTCATTGAATAATGAAGGAAAACATCTGTTGTGAACGAAAGTCTGGGTAGATTATAATTTAAAACATAAAGTTAATTACAAGAACTTCATATACGTTCTTTACCCAGTATAACGGTTCTTAGAAAGAGTATTGCGGTACAGGGCTCGATTTAGTGCTTTGTTACTTGCACTGGTGCAACCCAATTTTGCAAAGTGCAACCTAGTTATTAGTCTAACTTGAGTCTATTGAGAAATAAATCAACAATAAATCTAACAATATATGCATAAAAATGTCAGCTCCATTTTGTTCTAAACTTTGAATAGCTATGGCAACGAAACATTGCTATTCATAGACACGTCGCGGCTATGATAGCTCAATATTGTAAACAGGGATCAGCTGTGTCTCTGTGTTGCTATGGTTTCAATGGCACTACATGACAGAAATATGTTTATGTGCACCGAAACCTCTGATGTTTTAACACACTATGTTGCAACTGGAATTTGGCAGGTGCAACTAGGTTTTTATCTTAGGTTGCACCTGGTGCAAGTAGGTTAACATCTTTTAAATCAAGCCCTGCGGTATATACTGAAGTCCTATCACTCACTGTGTAGGCGGTCATCGAGGGGGAAGTCCTCCCATGAGTTCCTTACTTCCGATGGTGGATTGTTCTGGTAATCGGAGCGGGTTGGAGGAACTATCTTCCAAAGTCGGTAGATGAACTGTTGCAACACAAAAAGGACATGTAACATTGCAAAGCTTTCAAAAAGTATTTTCTTGTCATAATTAGCTTATACAAATATCCAGACTGTGACTGCCCAAAAATATATATAACCTTTAATAACCACAAATTAAACATACATCACATATTTACATTCAGACATAATACAGAATACAATGTATGGCTGTACTTAGCTACACCATGGAATAACACATACTCTAATCCTCGTGCTACAGGTTGTCAGATTAAAAGTAACCAGTTAATATGATGAACTCATTTGCTGACATATTTGTTTGTTAAAGCAAACTGACAAATCTCAACATGCATTCCTCCTTTCCATGCATAATTATGATTTATAATATAATAATAATTGGCGACTATAGCGCGCTGAACTCCCCGCCGCAGGGACATGCTCAAAGCGCATACAACATGATGGACATTATAACCCTGGATAACCAAAGTTGCCTGTGAGGTGCTAGACAGTTAATAGTCATATGACTTATACCACCGGGTACCCATTTTTTGCTGGGTGAACAGTGGCAATTTTAAACAAACTCACTCGCACATAGGTGCAGGACAGAAGTCCTAGAAATTCAAGAGTCAAGCTGCCAAACATGGTCACCGATCGAAGTACTCTCCGTGACCAACATTTTCACAGTGCTTCAATTGTTTAAAAGCTACACTCAGCTATAGTGCAGCTGTATGAATGCAACCTGTAAACAATCATGTCTGACAAGGCAAACAAGTGACATTAGCATACTGAGCACTGATTAGCACTTGTGAGAATGATGATGCATTCAATCCAGTCATTCACCTTTTTATGACAAGCATAGTCTGCAAAAATCTGTATCACCCTTAGACTTTAACTATGAGGGAAAATATCTATATATTCAGGTAACTTGATTCGACTAGAAGCTGTAAGATAAGAGTTAGGTTTAGGGTTAGGTTTAGGTTAGGGCCTTGCAAGATGAATTTAAGGGGTATACGAGCAGAAGTCTTTCCCCAAATCTCATGGAAGACTTGTTATTAAACAGTGTAAAAAATGGGAATCATATTAAATGTTATGCTTGATATATGAATCTTATTAAAATGATATCACAAGTATCTTTTTTTTGATATATGGAAATACATTGATGAGTAAGCCACTGGGTTTGCTGAGATATATCAGTGACCTGAGACATGGCAAGTAACTAATACTCACAGCTGCATAAATTTGCACAAATAATAATGTTCATGTACTGTTTTAACAAAATATAATATATGTATTTCAATATGAAGCTTACATGATTACAATCTTTTCAATCACTTAACCACAAAACTGAAGGTAATTAGCATCTGAGTGAGTCAGTTTAGTGTTATGCCGCTATTAGCACTATTCTAGCAATATCACGGCAGGGGACACCAGAAATGGGCTGCACACATTGTACCCATGTGGGGAATCAAACCCAGGGTCTTCAGTGTGACGATCAAAGTCTTAAACCACTAGGCTATCCAACTGCCCCCCATTAGCATATGAGTGAGTGAGTGAGTTTATATTTACGCCACACTCAGCAATATTCAAGCTATATGGCGACGGTCTGTAAATAATCGAGTCTTGACCAGACTTCTATGGCTATCATTCGGAGACTTTAATTATTCTTAAAATGAACTTCTATGAACAAATACAGAGGTATTGTTTCTTGTCATTTTGACCCTTAAATCTTGAACACTTGGAAAAGTCAGAAAGATTGCATGCATGGTCTTTAGCTATATCCTTGTGAACAACATGAAGGCATTGTGTATCAAAAACAAAGGACATCCAAACTATTGACATGATATATGTCTCAACTGACGACAGTTCACAGCACGTCTCTGAAATGAACATATTTTACAGGAAAAAAGTTTTTAAATCAAAATAACATAGAAATAAAAGGAGCCCAGAGACTTTCTTTATTTCCTGAAACTATGGAGATCTAGACTTGCCACACATTCTAGACTTGCATGGGCTACATTTGGCATATTTGTATCAGGGTCTGTATGACAGACTACTTGGAACCTTTAGATACAGGTGTCTATAAAATACCTGTAACTGTGATTAACTTACTCAATTACTTTATTCCATTATACAGGCTGTCATTGTATTGCTGTAACTTTGTAGCGAGGCAAAAACAACACCCCCCAAAAAAACCCCCAAAACCCCCCACAAAAACCAAAACAAATAGCAAACTCTACACGAGTATGGGTGAGTGTCTCGTAAACATATTATGTATGATAATCACCACTGAACCAAAGTCAGGGTGTGCACTGTACGATCAATCACTTCATAAACAAACAACAATGTAAATGAATTAAACCTGGCCTAATCTGCTTCGCCGCCAGTCAATATCCATTATTGATTCTATGACAGACAGAGTGAATGCAACTTGAGAGGGTGTGAACTGTTGAGTGTTGACGAGCTGTTGACCCGATTCGTAAAAACAAGGAAGTGAAATCGCGATAGAAGTGCACTTTACCCATACTAAATTTACAAAATTACCTCGTTCGGTGTAACAAATATATGGAAGAAATCCTTCGATGGAGACGGAGCTTGTTGACCATAATCAACAAGAGCTTCGTGCTCGTTCAACCAGTGTGTCCACTTCGTCGCCATTTTGACGCTATCACCATCCCAACCGACGGCTGCCTTAAATAGCTGCTCGGATAAGGACACGGAACGAAACGAGCACCTGTCGGGTTAATACAAAAGTAGGACTTCTCACGCACACTAAATACCCGACAGGTTTACGGGTTTACGATAAAGCTAATCACGGGATTACAGTGGACGCATAGCGAAATAATGTTTAATTGGTTAGTGCGGTGTGCACCAAACCGTATTATATCAAACAAGCTGCAAAAGAATGCAGACATACAGGCGACGGTAGTGATCTACACATGTTTGGAAACGTAACAGAGTACATATACACTACACGCCAAAAGAAACGTTACCCTCCTACCTTTATGAATTACTGAAAAACTATCAAACACATGTTAGAACGTATTAGTTTACAAGAAAGCTTAACAACACAGCTTTAAGCAAATCACGAAAAACATTCTCAAATGCATTCATGATTAGGTGAAATGCATCCTTTTCGGAAGAGTTAGAGTGTCCTATTTTCGTTCATGCCGAAATAGACCAACAACAGTTATTTAGATGTCCAAAAGAAAGGTTGAAATATAATTCTGTTTTGAGACAAAGATAAACCATTTAAAGACACCATTTTTCTACTATTAAAACAAGAAACTCGTTGTAGAGTGTGTAAAATTGTAAAATAATCATTCCTATGATTCCAGTCTTTTAAAACATTTTCTGCTGATTTGCATTAGTGGAAACAAGTAAAACGTGTCTTTGGTATTGTGAAAAAGTGTTTAGGAACTTCTACAATGATCTTTGTTAACAAATTTGCTTGCAAAATAACATTTTTCCATTTTCTGTGTACACATAGCATTATCAATAGCCAAAACGCAGCAATAGTCAAAGCATGTATTTGCATCCATCTCACATGTGGAATGATTCTATAGGGTATGAAGAGAGCCCAGAATACATGATATGATACACAAGTACGATTAACAGCTGAAAGAGAGAAAGAGCCATTGGGGTGGTGCAGATGGGGTCGACGTACAATGCTGTTGCCAACGCCCTCGGATGCCACCGCATCACGGTTATAAGACTTATTCAGTCAGACTGGGGTCACCGTAGACAGACCAAGAAGTGGACGTCCACGCATCACAACGCCAGCTGAAGATAGGTACCTCCGTCACTGAGGAAGGGGGTAACGTTTCTTTTGGCGTTTAGTGTATGTGTGAGGGTGAGTGTGTAGTGTGTGTATGAGAGTGTGAGTGCGAGTGAGTGAGTGAGTGAGTGCGTGCGTGCGTGCGTGCGTGCGTGCGTGAGTGAGTGAGTGAGTGTGTGTGTAATTCTTTCATCATTGAGGATCGTTGTTTTTTAAACTGAAATGTTGTGGATGAGTGAGTGAGTGAGTTTAGTTTTACGCCGCACTCAGCAATATTCCAGCTGTCTGTAAATAATCGAGTCTGGACCAGACAATCCAGTGATCAACAGCATGAGCATCGATCTACGCAATTGGGAACCGATGACATGTGTCACCCAAGCGATCCCGTTTGTCGCCTCTAATTACGACAAGCACGGGTTACTGAAGGTCCATTCTAACCTGGACCCTCACGGGTAGTTGTGGAGGGACCCTAACACAAGAAAATGTTAAAAAAAAAGAAAGAAAGAAAGAAAAAATGCAACTTTTACGAAAGAAGTGGTTTAGTGGTGAAACCTTTTGCGAATGAATATGATTCTGCTCCCTTTGAGAAATATTCTAATAATATCACGGTCGGGGACACCATAAGTGGGCTTTACAGACTGCACCCATCTGGGGATTGAACCCAGATATTCAATGTAACATTTTAACAAGTAGGCTACCCCACGACTCCCCGAAGATTCGATACTTCATAGCAGTTGTTTACAAACTTTGCTTTGTGTAAATGTTTATTCATAGAAAGAGGAAACCCGCGCGCATCTATAATTATACCCGACGTGCGTTCTGTGCACTCGGCGTACGAATGAAACAAAGACTGACTGACTGACTGAGTTTAGTTTTACGCCGCTTTTATCAATATTCCAGCAACATCACGGTGGGGGACACCAGAAATGGGCTTCACACATTGTACCCAATGAAACAAAGAGGGTATTTAGATCAACAGATAATGGTTCCACGGAAATTGCTCTGGATCAGTGCTCCTTTGTGTGGTTTTGGTTTCCACGATGGTTTATAATAATACACTAAGTTTATGTTCATGTAATATTTTATTAGAAATTGAAAACTCATGGTGACAAATTAATCATCTTCGCTTACAGGCCCCGTGGCAGTTATACCACAAATGACAAGTTACGATATTGAATTTGGACTTCATGCTCAAGGCCATAATGAAATATATCCATGAGCATTAATAGTGCAATAACCCACTTTTTACAGATGAATACGAAAACACATGTTGGTGCATATGCTTTTAAAACCAAAATTACACGGATTAAAATGGCAGCTGTAATACATTTTACTCTGATTTCAACAAAAACAAAACTGCAGTTGAAACATGGTAACACATTACTGCAATTTGAGAAGAACACACAAAACACGTGAACTTCAACAATACTGGAAAGTATGGTTACCATGACTACCCCACAAGTCTGTATTTTATACAGTGGGTGTTGTGATTGTATGAACCACCACAGGCGACCACACCAGCATCATGTGAAGCCATCCCTCGGACTTAAACATCTGCCAGTCTCCTCCTCATACTGCCAATCAAACATTGTATTATTAGCATCATATTCCTCTGCCATTCCCGATACAGTGTATGCTTCAGTTCGTTACTTTGAACGGGAGAAGGTCCAGCTAGAATTTGGCATCTAACATTTTCCGAAAGATGTTCAATGAGGTTTATATCGGGGCAATGGCGGTACGAGACGGACTAGCGTTGTCATCCATGACTATCCATGACTATGACGATTGGCAAAGTTAACAAAACGTGGCGTCATGGCCGTATCAAGTACTTCCTGTGGAAAACATTGACCACTGTGTTTCCCAGGTTTTGTAATGAGATCCATACAAAACGCAATCCCACACCATCACTTATGGGTTCAGTTGCATATATCAACTCCTGATAATACTACGTTTCTACACGTGACAACGGCCGTGGGCAACGTACTCGATTATTCAGTATATGTCTTTATACAGATATTTCAATATTGATATGACACAAAGCAGGAAAGTTAATTTTGAAGGCAGTATGTAGGATTTGACACAAACTTATAAAAAACAGGCATTTAAAACAAAATGGTTCATCAATGAAAAAAAGATTTTTATAATAACAAGAGTTTTTTATAAAAGGAATTTTTATATTGTAAATTCACACTAGATTAATATTCAAAAATAAAAAAAATATATGTTGCCAGAGGGTATCAACATTGTCTCCAAGTAAAACAGCATACCCAAATTATATTTGATAAGGGGAGATAACTCGTTCCCAGGTTTCCCTCAGGATAAATGCTTGTGTGGCCAAAATATCATGAAGTAAGATTAGACGAAGTGGACTAATAGACATGTGGTTAATGTTGCAACAGGACATCCCTGCATCATGCAAGCCAATAGCTTACCGTCATGTATTTTCTGAACGTCTGCATCTTGCCTTGTCAAAAAAAGTTACTTTTTCGTATTGCCGTTTTCGGAAACTGTAGCGGCACCCCCGGGACCATCGTATCATGTAAAATGGCACCATAGGAAAAGAGACGTTTGAGACCTTTACAAAGGAAAGTTTGTTGACAAATAAAGCCGAGTAACAGTATATGAAAGGGGTAAAGAAGAGCTGGAAACAACGAAGAGTGACGTAGAACTCTTGTCAGAGTGTACATTAGGCGTTAGTCAAAGTTAGATGATTCTAATCAGCATGAAAAGCAGACACCATCCCTAACAGAAAATGGATGCTTTTGCACTGGTATAAAACGTGGCCTGTTGGCACATGTAGAAGAATATGTTACAGCAATATCAGAAGAGACAACTGTTACCACTTTAATTATTGACGGAGCTGTCACTGTTCAAAAGTTGAAACCGCGTACTGTCAAAACATTTGATGAATATGCCTTCGCTTGTCCCTGGAATTGCAGTCATGAAACCGATATTCCCATCATACTTCATGTTGCCCATGGCTATGAAAAGCTTATGTTACGAACCTTAGCTGCAGATGCTGAAGTGCTTGCAGTAACGCTCAAAACTTGCCATCCGACCAACGCATTCAGTTCTTGTACAGCATGTAAAGGAGAACAGGGTTTGTCATAGGGGCCTTTGTCCACTGGAGTTTTTGTCCCTTGTATGAGTGAGTCAATCTTCCACAGCCTTTACACTGGATACAGCAGGAAAGTAATATGTTTCCCAATGGACGACACTTCAACACGCATCAACATCAACGTCTTGTCAGGAGGTGGTCTCTTGTTGCTGCGGAAAGGGGTGTAACAACATAGAAACACTCCTCACTTAAATGCACTGACCTCTCAAGACATTTTACCAGAATATGTGGGTGATTATAATACATCAAAATATCCCTGTAATGCATTGATGGCCTTTCCAAAGCTAAAACAGTAGCGAGAAATGGCAAAGTAGTATTTACGTTCAGCAAACGCCCGTGAAGATGCGATTTTGAATTAGACTTTTGGAATCCATGCTTGCCGTAAAGGGGATTAATGGGATCGGGACGTCACCCTCGCTGACATTCTTCAAGCACTCATCAGCAAGGCATATCCTCTTACAGCGAATACAGCTTCCGTACATTGAACATACCATTCTATTGTAGGCTTGCCATGGGTATGTCTGTAGGCTCGTTTGCGTAACTCAAGGGTGTATGGGAGACTCATTTTAGACCCATGAAGATTCGGGTTAGAAAACAGGATCGGGCAAACCCACTGACTTCGATGACATATGTCATCGTATCCCTAACTGCGTAGATCGTGCTCTAGCTGTCGATCACTTGATTGTCTGGTCCAGAGTTAATGATTCACAGACCATTTCCATATAGCATATTGCTGAGTGCGGCGTTAACAACCAACAAGACCTTCTGCGCATGTGCAAAATGAAA